TATAAACCTGTAAAGGATCCCTGTAGCCGTGTCATTGTTATAGTACTGCTGTTAAGAAGGCCACGGTACTGTAACAGCATTTACAATTGGTTTTCTTTCTTTAATCATTCAAAATATTCTTTAAATAGTTCTTGTTGTATATTATCAGTTGTTTGTTGAGCTTTCTTTTCTACTTATTGAATGTATTGTTGGTGATAGTTTAGATCTAGTTTATATCCAGGTTTAGGTTCTTTTTTCTTGTGCTGTTTATATTCACAAGGTAGTTTTCTTTTGATACAATTGTCACAATCGTTGATATTTGTTGATAATACTTTGGTACACTTTCGTTTATGGTTATAGCACTCTATACAGGCGTGCTTGGAGTATAGTGTAGTGTGTATTCTTTTACTTGTTGTGGTGTACTGGGGCATCCACTTTCTTCGTCAGAAGTATCTTGTAGATTATCAAGCATTTTGTATAATTTATTGAAGTTGTGTTGTTTTTTGAGTGATTCAAAGATTAACTTCGCTTCTTCAATTGTATGTAATAAGTTTATTTTTGTGTCAAATATTTTTCTGAGTACTTTAGTTTTATCCGATATATAATAGTTTCTTTTACAAGTTTATTGCTGAGTTTACAAAATGAGCAGGATATTTTATTGTCACAAGGTAGATCTTTAGCTTTGCAATATTCACAAATTGTAAATCTTTCTCGTATTTTAGAAATTTGTTTTTTATGATCAATATGTTTGGGCATGTTTGAGCTTTGGTCAAAATTATGTTCTTTATATAAGTTTTCTTGTTACTTTTTGTAATACTTTGTTATTTATAATTTTTTCAATTATTTATGTGATTAATAATACATTTGATATAATGATTAATATAAATATTTATACAATTACAATAATAAGTTGGGTAAATTATAATTTGGTGTTATTTGGTGCCTTGTTTACTACTTTATTTTTCAGGGGTATTTTTTATTTTTCAGGGTAAATTATTTCTGAGGTTACTAAAATATTCTTTATGTAATTTATCAAATTTTTCTTCAAGATATTCTTGTCCTAATATTACGAATTCTGCTACAGCTTGGTTTCTCCAAGTTGTTATTTGTCTAAGTCTTGTTAAGTAATCGTGTCCTCGATGCTCTTCAAGTTTTCTTTTTAATTCATTATTTTCGAGGTGAAATGTGTTATTTATTTCTTGATAGATTTTTATTGCTTCAGCAAGGTATTTTATATTTTTGCTTTGTTCGATAGCTAATTTTTTTAGATTCGTTATTTCTTGTTTTATTTGTTCTATCTCAGTTCTTTTAATTTTTTCAAAGTTAAATTCTTCAATTTTAGTGGTATTTTGAGTTTTTTATTTGGTATGAATTCTTCTTTTTCAATTTCATGAATTTGATCCTTTTCTTGTTTTCTTTTTTCTACTTCCATTTGGAAGCAAATGGTACATTTTGCATTCTTTAGTTTTTCAATAGAGTTGGTTGTTTGCAACCAATATATTTGGGTGCTTTGTCGTAACATCCGGTACAATATCCATTTAATAATTCTTTTTCGTTGTAAGGGTATTTGCATTCTACACAAGTTTTTTTTCCTTAATGTCTAATTGTGGTTCATCGTATATTTTATATTGTGCTATTTTTTCTTTTCAATTTTTGTCATTTAGTTCTTTTGGTTTGTAGTCATAGTCAAGATTTTGGGTAGCAATATCTGCTATGACTTGGTCTTGTTTTTCATTATTAATTTCTTCAGGTTCCATGATTATGTCTTGGTCAACTACGATATCATTATCATTAAATTGATCATCTAATTCATCATAGGATGATGTAATCATTTCTGATCACTTGTAATAGGTTATATGCTATTCTTGGATAATATTATTTTCTTTTTCTTGTAGGAGTATTGCTTTATGATTGTATTGTTTAGGAATTTCTTCCTTATCAAGTAAAGTTTCTTCTTCTTTAATTAAGGCAATTAGTCTATAAATTTTTGATTCATTGATGCTTTTACTTGCGTGTACACCATATCTTGTTCTATGGTAGATTTGTTAGTAAATTCGATATATTGTCTGTTAGTTATTTCTGCATAAACCATAAATGCTATCATTTCTTCTAAATAATACATATATTGTCCTGTGTTTCAGGGTTGGTAACCTTGTCTTTTTTTAATTAGTTTGCAACAGAAGTTGCATTCGGTTAATTTATTGATTTCTTCTTTTTTATAATATTCTTCTGCTTTTGGGTCATCAATTTCTAGTTCTTCAAATTTGATATGATAATATGTTTTGCAAAGTAATATTTTATTATAATATTCCTTTATGTTATCAAGGTTGATTATTTCAAAGTTACTTAGTGTGAAGTAGTCATTTTTTTAACAGGTCGTTGGCAGTTACAACAATGATATATTGGCGAGTTGTGTACTTCTTGGTATGATTTATTTCCAAGTATTTCTTATTGGTAGATTCTTTTGTTCATTACTTTTTTCTGGTTGCATTCACATGATTGGGTATGTTGTGCTTCAAGAAGATTATAATATGGGCATTCTTGGTGATAGTCTTGGAAGCAATACTTACAAGTAAGTTGCCATTCTTCTTTGATTCTTGGTGATAACGGTGGTTGTTTTTCTGGTTCCTCTTGTTTCCAGTAGTTTTCATTTTTTCAGTAGTGTTAAGTTTATTTGGATAGTTCTTAGAAATATGCCTTTTTTTTCACAGATTTTACAAGTTACGATTGGGCAATATGAATTAGGATATCCTGTTTTGAAGCAGATTCTGCAAGTAGTTTTTCGGTGAAGTTATAGTAAGAAGTCTTTGTCAAATTTTCTTTTGTTTTTCTTTGAGCAATTATGTTGATCAAGTATAGATACTTTTTCGCAGAATGGATACTCTTCTCTTGGAGTGTTGTCTCAGATTCTAAATTTTTCTTTAAGAGTCATTTCTGGGCTAATCGTTTCTTTTGTTCTTTGATTTTTCATAAATCGTTTAAGTGCATTAGAATTGCTTGGATTGAGTAAGCAATCATGACCAAGTAATCTAGAATAATTGCAATTAGTGCAAATACTAGGGTCAGTTCTTCTTCAGGAGTCATTGATGTTTTTGGTTCTTGATATTATTTTCTTTTTCAGGGTTCTTTTGTTTTTCCAGTTGGTGACTTTTTCTGTTGGAGTTGAAGTTCTTTTCAGGATCCTTAAATAGTTGTTAGTTTCTATAGTTTTCTAATTTATTCTTTGGACGTCAAGTTCTTAAATTCTGTTTGTTTATACTTTATCAATATTTTTCGATTCTTTAATGATATCTGATTCAATTTCTGTGGTACTTAATTTAGCTGTGTTTTGTAAACATTTAATAAAGGCTTCAAATTAATCATAAAGGTTTTGTTTTTTTCAAATAAAGACTAGTAGTTTTGAGAATAAGTATCTGCATTCTCTTGGCAGTATTTTTGCTTTGATCACTTGCCAATATGCTTCAATTGTGTTTGTGT